GATTTGAGGACTTCAACACCAAACAAAACCGAAGAAATTCTTGTTTCTTTTGCACACAAGAGCAAAATGCACATAGACGTCAACGATGTGCGCTTTGGATTTGGCCAGGTTTAAACAGCTTCAAAAGCAAAGCAATTCTTGTTTCTTGGCACACAAGAGCAAAACGCACATAGACGTCAACGATGTGCGTTTTGGATTTGGCCAGATTTGAAGATTTCAAAACCAAAACATACCAAAGTATATCTTGTTTCTTTGCAGACAAGAACAAAACACACATCGATGTGCGTTTTGGATTTGGCCAGATTCGAAAACTTCCAAACCAATGCAATTCTTTTTTTTGCAGGCAGGAGCAGAACGCACATAGACGTCACAGATGTGCGTTTTGGAATTGAAACTTCAACCCCAAACCATACCAAAGCGATTCTTGTTTCTCTGCAGACAAGAGCAAAACGCACATAGACGTCACCGATGTGCGTTTTGGATTTGGCCAGGTTTAAAAACTTCAAAAGCAAAGCAAATCTTGTTTCTTTGCAGACAAGAGCAAAACGCACATAGACGTCACCGATGTGCGTTTTGGATTTGGCCAGATTTGGACACTTCAAAACAAACCATACCAAACAAATTCTTGTTTCTTTGAAGACAAGAGCAAAACGCACATAGACGTCACCGATGCGCGTTTTGGATTTGGCCAGATTTGAAAACTTCTTGCTCCTTTGCAGACAAGAGCAAAACGCACATAGACTTCACCGACGTGCGTTTTGGATTTGGCCAGATTTGGACACTTCAAAACCAACCATACCAAAGCAACTCTTGTTTGTTTGCAGACAAGAGCAAAACGCACATAGACGTCACCGATGTGCGTTTTGGATTTGGCCAGAATTGAAAACTGCAAAACAAACCAGACCAAACCAATTTTGGTTTCTTTGCAGACAAGAGTACAACGCACATAGACGTCACCGATGTGCGTTTTGGATTTGGACAGAATTGAAAACTGCAAAACATACCAGACCAAACCAATTTTGGTTTCTTTGCAGACAAGAGTACAACGCACATAGACGTCACCGATGTGCGTTTTGGATTTGGACAGATTTGAAGACTTCAAAACCAAAACATACCAAACCGATTTTTGTTTCGTTGCAGACAAGAGCAAAACGCACATAGACGTCACCGATGTGCGTTTTGCATTTGGCCAGGTTTAAAAACTTCAAAACCAAACCATACCAAACCAATTTTTGTTTCTCTGCAGACAAGAGCAAAACACACATAGAGGTTACCGACGTGCGTTTTGGATTCGGCCAGATTTAAAAACGTCAAAAGCGAAGCAATTCTTGCTTCATTGCAAACAAGAGCAAAACGCACATAGACGTCACCGATGTGCGTTTTGGATTTGGCCAGATTTGGAAACTTCAAAACCAAACCATACCAAAGTAATTCTTGTTTCTTTGCAGACAAGAGCAAAACGCCCATGGACGTCACCGATGTGCGTTTTGGACTTGGCCAGAATTGAAATCTTCTTGCTCCTTTGCAGACAAGAGCAAAATGCACATAGAAGGACGTCACCGATGTGCGTTTTGGATGTGGCCAGATTTGAAGACTTCGAAACCAAACCATACCAAAGTAATTCTTGTTGCTTTGCAGACAAGAGCAGAACTCACATAGACGTCACCGATGTGCGTTTTGGATTTGACCAGATTTGGACACTTCAAGACCAAACCATACCAAAGCAATTCTTGTTTCTTTGCAGACAAGAGCAAAACGCACATAGACGTGACCGATGTGCGTTTTGGATTTGGCCAGGTTTAAAAGCTTCAAAAGCAAAGTTCTTTTTCTTTGCAACAAGAGGAAATCGCACATAGACGTCACCGATGTGCGTTTTGGATTTGGCCAGATTTGAAAACTTCAAAACCAAACCATACCCACGCAATTCTCGTTTCTTTGCAGACAACAGCAAGACGCACATAGACGTCACCGATGTGCGTTTTGGATTTGGCCAGATTAGGACACTTCAAAACCAAACCATACCAAACCAATTCTTGTGTCTTTGCAGACAAGAGCAAAACGCACATAGACGTCACCGATGTGCGTTTTGGATTTGGCCAGGTTCAAAAACTTCAAAAGCAAAGCAAGTCTTGTTTCTTTGCACACAAGAGCAAAATCCACATAGACGTCACCGATGTGCGTTTTGGATTTGCCCAGATTTGAAGCCTTCAAAACCAAACCATACCAAAGTAGTTCTTGTTTCTTTGCAGACAGGAGCAGAACGCATATAGACGTCACCGATGTGCGTTTTGGATTTGGCCAGATTTGAAAACCTCAACACCAAACCATACCAAAGCGATTCTTGTTTCTCTGCAGACAAGAGCACAACGCACCTAGAAGTCACCGACGTGCGTTTTGGATTTGGCCAGATTAGAAAACTTCAAAACAAACCATACCAAACAATTTTTTGTTTCTTTGCAGACAAGAGCAAAACGCACATAGACATCACCGATGTGCGTTTTGGATTTGGCCAAATCAGAAAACTTCAAAACCAAAGAGCAAAACGCACATAGACGTCACCGATGTACGTTTTGGAGCTGGCCAGGTTTAAAAACTTCACAGGCAAAGCATTTCTTGTTTCTTTGCAACAAGAGCGAAACGCACATAGACGTCACCGATGTTCGTTTTGGATTTGGCCAGATTTGAAAACTTCATAACTATAACCAATGCAATTCTTGTTTCTTCGCAGACAGGAGCAGAACGCATATAGACGTCACCGATGTGCGTTTTGGATTTGGCCAGATTTGGACACTTCAAAACCAAACCATACCAAAGCAATTCTTGTTTCTTTGCAGATAAAAGCAAAACGCACATAGACGTCACCGATGTGCGTTTCGGATTTGGCTAGATTAGGACACTTCAAAACCAAACCATACCAAAGCAATTCTTGTTTCTTTGCAGACAAGAGCAAAACGCACATAGACGTGACCGATGTTCGTTTTGGATTTGGCCAGGTTTAAAAGCTTCAAAAGCAAAGTTCTTTTTCTTTGCAACAAGAGGAAATCGCACATAGACGTCACCGATGTGCGTTTTGGATTTGGCCAGAATTGAAAACTTCAAAACCAAACCATACCAAACCAATTTTTGTTTCTTTGCAGACAAGAGCAAAGTGCACATAGACGTCACCGATGTAAGTTCTGGGTTTGGCCAGATTTGAAGACTTCAAAACCAAACCATACCAAAGTAATTCTTGTTTCTGTGCAGACACCAGCAAAATTCACATCGATGTGCGTCTTGGATTTGGCCAGATTTGAAAACTTCATAACCAATTCTTGTTTCTTCGCAGACCGGAGCAGAACGCACATAGACGTCACCGATGTGCGTTTTGGATTTGGCCAAAGTTGAAAACTTCAACACCAAACCATACCAAAGCCATTCTTGTTTCTTTGCAGACAAGAGCAAAACGCACATAGACGTCACCGATGTGCGTTTTGGACTTGGCCGTATTTGAAAGCTTCAAATCCAAAGCAAATTTTGTTGCTTTGCAACAAGAGCAAAACGCACATAGACGTCACCGATGTGCGTTTTGTATTTGGCCAGATATTGATAACTTCTGGTTCCTTTGCAGACAAGAGCAAAACGCACATAGACGTCACCGATGTGCATTTTGTATTTGGCCAAAATTGAAAACTGCAAAACAAACCATACCAAACCAGTTTTTGCCTTCTTGCAGACAAGAGCAAAATTCACATAGACGTCACCGATGTGTGTTTTGGATTTGGCCAGATTTGGACACTTCAACACCTAACCATACCAAAGCACTTCTTGTTTCTTTGCAGACAAGAGCAAAACGCACGTAGACGTCACCGATGTGCATGTTTTTGATTTGGCCAGATTTGAAAACTTCAAAACCAAACCATACCAAAGCAATTCCTGTTTCTTTGCAGACAAGAGCAAGACGCACATAGACGTCACCGATGTGCATTTTGGATTTGGCCAGGATTGAAAACTTCAAAACAAACCATACCAAACTATTTTTTGTTTGTTTGCAGACAAGAGCAAAACGCACATAGACGTCACCGATGTGCGTTTTGGATTTGGACAGATTTGAAAACTTCAACACCAAACCATACCAAAGCGATTCTTGTTTCTCTGCAGACAAGAGCAAAATGCACATAGACGTCACCGATGTTCATTTTGGATTTGGCCAGATTCGAAAACTTCAAAACAAACCATACCAATCAATTTTTTTCTTTGCAGACAGGAGCAAAACGCGCATAGACATCACCGATGTGCGTTTTGGATTTGGCCAAATCAGAAAACTTCAAAACCAAAGAGCAAAACGCACATAGACGTCACCGATGTACGTTTTCGATTTGGCCAGGTTTAAAAACTTCACAAGCAAAGCAATTCTTGTTTCTTTGCAACAAGAGCAAAACGCACATAGACGTCACCGATGTGCGTTTTGGATTTGCCCAGATTTGGACACTTCAAAACCACACCATACCAAAGCAATTCTTGTCTCTTTACAGACAAGAGCAAAACGCACATAGACGTCACCGATGTGCGCTTTGGATTTGGCCAGATTTCAAAACTTCAAGCTGCTTTGCAGACACGAGCAAAACGCGCATAGACGTCACCGATGTGTGTTTTGGATATGGCCAGATTTGGACACTTCAACACCAAACCATGCCAAAGCAATTGTTTCTTTGCAGACAAAAGCAAAACGCACAGGGGGGAAGGGGGCTTCGGGTAGGAAGAAGAGGTCCATATTTCCGTCATTTCGGTCACCTCACTTGCTGTGTGCGGCTTGAATTGACCGCATCTCCTCCTGAATTGAAATCCTCGCCAGAGCGCACGTGGTTCCTGAGCTTGATGGTAGGCATGCATGTGGAGTCCTAATTCCGGGAACAGAACACCGTCACTGCACATCTATGCTCATGTTGGGGAAGTTTTGTTTGCATTTTAGGTGGCATCACTGTTGCTAGGAGGCAGTTGCCTGTTCTCAACCCTTCGCAGCGATGTGGCCACAAACGCTGATCTTGGCATTTTTCTTCCGACCACGGCCGCCACAAGATGAAAAGGCTGCATTTGCAAAAAAGCGCTCAAAGCTCTTGCAGCAACTCCCAGATTGGAGCCACATCTTGGTCAAGCCCGACTGTTTCGATGCCTTGGCCGCAGAGCTACCTGAACTGCTGCAATCCCAAGTCCGTGCTGCTTGGGCGCATGGCACCACTTCGTGGGTCGAGCGTGCTGACATGGTGAAGGTATTGGCCGTTTGGTTCTATGGGGGGCTTGCAATCGACAGCTTGGATGAAGACATCAAAGATCCGAAAAGGCTGGAGGAATGGCGCAGCATCAGCCCACTATTGGTGCCAGGAGATAACAGACAGCAACACCCTAAACCGAAATGCCCAGAAACCCTAAACCCTAACACGCTAAACCCTAATCAACAACAGGTCTTAGCAACAGTTTCCCTTGCCGAGCCTGGAATTTGGCAGGGTTAAATTGCCTTTGTTCACCGGGGCGTTTGCTTGAGGTTTCGGGATGTTTCGGGTTTAGCGATAATTTCACAGCACGCCTTTTGATGATGGGAATCATGTTTTGGAGCTGGGAAGTTTCTTCGGCTGATGTTTTCGCAAGATAGGAACCAAACGGGTTGCAGAGCCTGGTAATGCCAGAGACAGGTTATAGCTGGCACTTGCTCGAATACATGTACAGAAGGTTGTCCATGCTGCACGCGTCTGTTATCACTACCGCCACGATTTTGTTTCTGTCAAGAAACGGGAATAGACGGATCTCCGGCTTTGGACGACAGGACGACATGACGCTCATGTGTAATTGGTTCAGTCCCAGTCGTGCCTGGAGTTACATACTACGCGCTGCGGGAAGACATGGACATTAGTGTGTGTTTTTGCTTCTTGTTCTTCTCCGACCTACTTCTATTGTAGCTCCTGCTAGCACAACTCACACGATTTGGCATTTCAATGAATATTGTTGCTACTGCTACTATGGCATTGACAGTAAGTGATTCTTGTATTGCTGTCAGTAGGTTTTTGTATATATATATATATATATATAGACATACCACTGCTGACAGTGTTGTCATCATCGCTTACTTTCATTTGTTTGTTGCTTGCATTGCCATGGCTGCTAGCATGACTAGTGTTATTTTCCTACTAGCAGCATTTGCGCAGCTCCCCGCTCAAGGACCAGACCTCGACGACTTTGTCCAACAGTGATGGTACTATAAGTAGCAGGTGACTGGCTTGTAATGTTTGAAAAGTAACATTCAGAATTGAGCCACCACGAGGAGGTCTTTCATCGATGGCGGTGGAAACGAAACGATGCATGCATACCAAAACTGAATTATTGCCTGAACCCCAAACCCTTCAATACCCTGTATGCGGTGCGGCAAGAGGAAACTGTTAGTAGCTGGCAGGAGCAAGTAGGACGCTTGGAGGCTGAGGGGAGTCGGTTTCGACCATGTCTAGGCCAAACAGGGCAACACTATTTGGCAGGAAATTTCGGCCTGAACAACAAGACTGTCCCGATCGAGCCAGACACGTTTGCGGGCGAGCGCGGAGTGACATGGCAATCGAACATAGCAATCGAGTTCTCAGTCATGGGTTTTGCACTGTGCGCCCCAATAGTGTTTGAAACAAACAGTTCTCCTGGCCACTGAATTCCTGTGCCCTCCAGTCCTGCATCCAAGGACGCATTTTTTTTGGACCTCCTGGGTGAGATATCTTGTCGCATAGTGGGCCGCAAGAAGCTTACCCGTGGAAATGGGCCGTCCTATGCAATCTGCGGCTCGTTCGTGCCTGTAGCGCGCCAGCACGGCACAGCGTTGCATAACATTGTCCATCGTACAATGTGCAACGTTGTGACCTGCATTCCCCCAGATGGCCAAGACATTTTTCGAGTGCAGCATGCTGTAACATGGACTGCTTGGAACGATTGCCCAAAGACCTGGCTGGAGCAGAAACCTTGGAAAAAAGCAAGCTGCTACTTAAAAAAGTCTTCAAAGACACCAAAGACCAAGAAGAGCTCCAAAGTTAAAAAGAAAGTCAATGCTGCATACCACGCCACTTCAACCTTGAAGACCTTGCTCGCTGATCCTGCTTCGTGGTCTTTGGAGCTGGCTCCCGAGTCCGTGCGGAAGTATATTCCACAGAAAGGCTATATGAAAATCAAGCAGGTGCCGGAGCAGGACAAGCGGTCTTTTGCAATGGCCTGCATGCTTTACGGTCGCCAGTCTGACGAGCGGCATCGGTACTTGGCCAACGCTGTTTCCAAGGACGTGCTGAAGGCACGGCTTCTGTCGGATGTGCGCTCCAATATGGCCAAGGCGAAGGGCAAGTGGACGTCTAAGCTGTTGAAGTTTCTTGCAGCCTCTGGCCGCGGCGGCAGTCGATAAATCAAACTTTGGCGTGCACTTCCGCCAGATTTTGCCAACAGATGTGCGAAATCCCTGGCCCTTTGTTTAATGCGGTATTTACAGGCTTTTTGTTCGGTGGTGGATCACTTCCGCCAGATTTTGCCCGCAGATGTGTAGGATCCCTAGCCCTTGAAGTGGTGGGTGAGAGGGTGGTGGGAGGGTGTTTGGGAGGTAGGGTGGGCAGGAGGTGGAGGGAGTGTGAAGTGGGAGGAAGGGTGGGTGGGGGGGGGGTTGGGACGCTGGGTGGGCGCTGAGGGTCGGTGGGTGGCAGGTTCTGCAAAAACACAGATAAAATCACAGATCACAAGGGTGTCGCCCCAAGACAAACCCAGATCGCAAGGGGTGTCCCCCTAAGGGTTCGTTGAAACAACAAGTTCCAAAACAATAAATCGCAAGGGGTGTCTCCCTAAAGCTTTTTATAAAAAATGAATTCCAAAACCACAAATCGCAACGGGTGTCCCCTAAAGGCTTTTGCGCTAAAGTAGATCCCGAAATAACAAATCGCAAGGGATGTCTCCCTAAAGGCTTTCGCGCAAGCTAGATCCCAACATGACAAATCGCAAGGAATGTCCCCTTAGGTTTTGAAAAAGCGCCGATCCCAAAATCACAGATCGCAAGGGGTGTCCCCCTAATGCTTTGTGAAAACTCAGATCCGCAAAACACAGATCGCAAGGGGTGTTCCCCTGAAGGTTTTCATATTAAATAAGTTCCAAAATCACAGATCGCAAGGTGTCCCCCCCAAGGTTTTGGAAGAACTCAGGTCCCGAAATCACAGATCGCAAGGGGTGTCCCCCTAAAGGTTTTATAACAAATAAGTTCCAGTATCACAGATCGCAAGGGGTGTCCCCTTCAGGTCTTGTGAAAACTCAAATCCGAAAACCACAGATCGCAAGGGGTGTCCCCCTAAATGTGTTTATAACAAATAAGTTCCAAAATCACAAAGCGCAAGGGGTGTCCCCCTAAGGTTGTGTAAGAACTCAGATCCCAAAATCACAGATCGCAAGGGGTGTCCCCCTAAGGTCTTGTGAAAACTTAGATCAGAAAACCACAGAGCGCAAGGGGTGTCCCCCTAATCCCTGCGAGCCGCGACCGAGCAGAAAGCCTGTAAATACCGCGTTAAAACAACGGCCAGGGATCCCACACATCTGCGGGCAAAATCTGGCGGAAGTGATCCGCCACCGAGAAAAAAGGCTGTAAATACCGCATTAAACAAAGGGCTAGGGATTTCACACATCTGTTGGCAAAATCTGGCGGAAGTACCGACTGCTCACTTCCGCCAGATTTTGCCAACAGATGTGTGAAATCCCTGGCCCTTTGTTTAATGCGGTATTTACAGGCTTTTCGCTCGGTGGCGGATCACTTCCGCCAGATTTTGCCCGCAGATGTGTGGGATCCCTAGCCCTTGAAGTGGTGGGTGAGAGGGTGGTGGGAGGGTGTTTGGGAGGTAGGGTGGGCAGGAGGTGGAGGGAGTGTGAAGTGGGAGGAAGGGTGGGTGGGGGGGGGTTGGGACCCAGGCGTTGAGGGTGGGTGAGTGGCAGGGGTGGGTGAGGGAGGGTAGGTGGGGTGGGGTGGGGTGGTATTTAATTCCCGGCCCCATTTGAATATGTTGATCTTCACGATCAGGACGAGCACTTGACGAATCCATGCTGAAATATCTACGCCTTCTTAAGAAATCTTGACAACCCTTCTGAAATGTCCTGACCGAATCGGAGACTCTCAGGGAGAAACCTAACCCCCAAAGACCTAACCCCGACCACAGAACAAACGACCGCCTACCAACGAGCCCTGAAAGGGCTCTCACTTCAGCTGTCGTGTCTTTTCGCATCTTGAGCCAAACATCCAACGTTCGGCTTCTGTCGATCATGGCAACGCCTGACGCTTCTGCCGATCATGGCATGCCTGGCTTCTGCCGATCATGGAACCTCTCTCAGACAGCATCTGTGCACATGTCTGTGTTGCGAGGCTCCCACACACTTACAGAATCCCATCACTCCTCCTTGGACTATGGGAGCGCTTGCCATCAGTCCACATTACAAGTCATTCGAGACGTACAGGGGACATCGCTGATAGCAATATGCACAAAGGGTTAAACGCCTTGTGCGATGGACTGCGTTCCGCAGGCCCCTACAGTTCGGGTCATGGTGAATTCGATCACCCTGTTCACTCGCAAAGAAAGGACCAGCATGTTGTCGCATGCCATCATCAAACGGATCAGATTGACTGCCTCGTGTAACAAGACGTGCCCTTGACGAAGAAGGGCGCTCCTCACGAGCTTCCAGCACAGGCATCTGTGGAGTAGCAGGCCCCGTAGACGAAGATACCTTCACTCCCACTTCCAGCCCATACTTCCCAACGTCTTCATGCACAACCTGTTGTAGTTTACGAAGACGCCGAGCCTCCTTGGATTCGGAAAAATCATCACGAGCACCAAAGCGACGCCCCAGGAGCCACTTCATTAGTTCCCAGACGCCAATGGCCGCAATCACCGCCAGGATGGCCAATCCGTAAAGCTCCCAAGCAAAGCTGAGCTCCAAGTTCGGCTTTGGACCATCATCAGAAGCTCTTGACCCCTGAACCAACCAACCCAAAATCAACGTAAGCCTTGCAAGGGTCCCAGTAACATCATTCACAGCCGAGGTTGCAATAGAGGCCTTCGTTGTTGTAGTAGAAGACGATTCACTCGCACCAGTCGTAGTAGCCGAAGGACATCCGTCCCACAACCCCCACAGATCGCGAAGCTGCTCCAGTCGGGGCTTGTGGAAGCACTTAGTTCCCAAATCACCAAGCTGTCGCAAGCCCTCGATGTGGCTGATTCGTAGTTCTTCTTGACGCACTGCTTCACGCAGGGCGAAAGCTCTCACTCGAAGGTGGCGCGTCTTCCACGTCCCAGAGCTCTCGGTCGTAAGGCCGACAGCGGCTTGATTGTCTACTCGCAAGCAGTGACGTGGTTTGTCATGTTGAAGCTCTTCCACAAAGCTCGACAGTCCCAACATCAGCTGGACACAGTTCACTGCCTCAAGTAGTTCCGCCTCCGCAACCGACAAAGAGACGATGCTCTGTCGGCCACATCGCCAACTCACAGGGCATCCAAGGTAGCAAGCAACTGAGCATCCCACGGATCGCGTCCCAAGAGGAGCGAAGGAGGCATCGGAGTAGCCCGTCACCTCATACCCAGAATTCACAGGGCGGTACCACAAACAAACCTCCGCTGTAGCCTTCAGGTACCCCAGGACACGGAGCCCATTCCTCTCAACCAGCTCCGGGTTTCTGATGCATAGTGACGACATGGTTGAAACACTGTGCATGATGTCAGGACGACTCCGGCCACTCAACCATAAGAGTTCTCCAGTAAGGGTTTGAGCCCTACGAAGTTGTTCAGGGGTATAGTCCACCGTCGACTCTTCGCACTCACCAAGCAGCCACTCCTGAGGACAAGGAGTGCCATACCCCTTGCTTTCTTGTAGCTTGTGGTGTCGAATCAACTCCTCCACAAAGGCTTGCTGGCCAATCTTCACCCCGTCCTTCACCAACATGATCTCCAAACCAAGGAAGCGAAGCACCGAGTCCTCGGTGGCCCAGGTAAGATCCGAGGCCTTCCATTCCGAGGTCAACCACTGCTGGACCAGAAGGATCTCGTCCTCCCTGCCCACATACAGAACATCGTCTACATAAATGTTCATGTAACCCCGAACCTCGGACTCCCCGTTAACCCCTCATACACAATGGCCCACACATTTGCATCTGCTCGACTTTGCCGTAGTCGAAGATGTCCAGGGCCGCACGGTACCCGAGCATCACGTAGGCGCTGGTCACGGAATCGGCTCCATAATCTTGGACTCCTCCTGAATCCATAAAGAGCCCGATCTACCCGCCACAGTTGATAGCAGTAGGGGACCAGAACCATCTGAAACACCTTCGGTGGGAACAACCCGTAAACGGTGCCGTCATCATCATCTTCTTCGTCCCTGATCGGAGCAAGGATGAAGGCATTCCGAATGTCAGTGGACGCCAAGCGCCAACCTCGAAACGCTGCCAGAACCAACATAGCACGCAGGGAGTCGATTTGGCAGCCGCCTGCGTAGGAATCTTCTCTTGCTTGGCGGCCCTGAAAGTTGCCACATATAACAAGTCTCGCCTTGCGCTTGACAAAGTGCGGCGAGCCTCGGGGAAGCGGAACACCCTCATCATCAACGGTCCTTTCCACATCCGGTGGCTTAGTAGTGAACACCCCCTTCGCAGGGAGCACCACAATTTTCCCAGAGGCCTCCAACTTCATCTGCTCCTCCGCGGTAAGAGGAACCAGGGCTCCCGCATCCAGTAGGGCCTTCACTTCCTTGTGCATAGCATCTGACCAACGAGAAGCGTAGTTCTTAACTTCATCCAAAGCGACAGTGGAGACAACCCGCAAGGGCTCACTCAACTCCTCAAGCATAGTCTCTACTCCGAACGACTCCTCCTCACCTTCAGTCATGCGGCAAAGACCCAACCACTGCTCCTCATTCCAACGTTCAGGTACACAACGAACTTCACGAAGATGAAGCCCGTCGGCCGCCTCCTGGTTGGCCTGGCCCCTTCATAGTCCAACTCCAGGTCCTTGGGGATCACCTGCATCAACTGCTCCTCCTCATCCAGAACTCTCCTGGTCCACAAACGACTCTGCATCTCCTCCTCAAGCTCGTGTTCCGAAAGAAGATGACGCCAAGGTCTCGCACACAAGGCTGCATTCACAACCTGGTTCGCTTGTCGTGAGTTTGTTGTTTTGGTCGACAGTGTTTTCGGTAAGTACTTGAGCTTGCATTGCTTCGCCTTGCGCCGCACTGCTAGCTCAAGCTGTCGACCCGGATCGCTTCCGATTTTAGCTTTTTCATGCATTGCATTTGCTTAGCTCTACATGCAGCTTTACATGCAGCTTTCTACACAGCTTGAGTTTGCATGCATCTCACTTTTGCTTTCTTTCGAGCTAGGCTTCTTTTGCTCCGCTCTGCTCCGCGCCATGGGCCGCCAAGGGCAGATCAAACGGCCGCGAACCGAGCCTGCAGTCGCTTCTGCCAGCACCGCTGTGCACTCGCCCACACATGCTCAGCTTGTTGTGGCTCGCTGGGCCCTTTGGCGCCGTTCCCCAGGGTCCTTCGCCATGCCCAGCACTGCTTCTTGGATTGCATGTCTTGAGTCGGCATGCTCAGCAGGTTTCTTGCTCAGCTTCCTCTGCTTCTTTGACTGCCAGTGCCTTGCTCAGCTTTGCGTCGCTTCGCACCGGCATCTTTGCACTTCTTGGGACGTCTCTCCTTCTTGCAGACGCATTCTGCTCAGCGTGGCCTTCCGCAATCGCACCCAGCCCGAAGATTTTTGTTGGCGCTATCAACAAGCTAGGCCCTGCCCCATCAGCAATACCCCGCCTCGCTTGATTCTCGTCAGGCGCCGCCTGGCACTCTGGTCTTCATCGCCCCGCGTTTTCTTTCAGGCGGATTCGACTCTGAGCGTTTGCTGGTTTCAATTCAGAGTCGCGGGTCACTTCTTTAGTTGCTTCTGCACGGCTTCTTTCCGCAGCCTCTCTTCAGCAAGCAGAGAAGCACGCACTGCTCTTAGCCAGCTGTACCATTTCACCCCAGCCGAGATTGCAACCCTAGCTTAAGTCCCGCCCCGCCTCTGTTGTCATGTCTTCAGGGTCCGAATGGCTCCGCTACTCCGCTCAGGAACTGCTCCGCAACGCACCGGCTCCTGTGTGGCGCGCCGACGATAGCCCGCCCAGCACTGCATCAGTTTGGTCTAGCACGCCCAGCAGCCTCCGCAGCAGCGTGGTGGCCGCGGCATGTGCCAGAGCCGAAGCATCAGCCTCGCGCCGAGCTGAAGCTTGGCTTGCCTCGCAACGCACCGCCCATGCCGCAGCATCTCCTGCATCGCACAGCTCCAGTTTTGTGGATCTCGCCTTGGAGGAGGATACACTACTGGATCGCCGCATTCTGCACCGCATCTGCTCTGCCTCGCTACCGGAAGAGATTCGGGCACTGCACTGCTGCTCCCAGACACTCTGGGAGCAGTGGTTGGAGATACGGCAACGTGAGCATCTCTTTTTGTTCTGCGATTTTTCCAGCAACGCACCGCCCTGTGCTGCCCTGTGGTACCGCAGGCCCCTGCTCCAGCTCGGCATCTCTTCTGTGCCGATTTATTCTTTGCACGACGCACAGCCCAGCAACGCTGACGTCATGGTAGATTTTCTACCAGGTGGTTTTTTCCACCCATACGCAATCGCACCGCGCCGCAACTGCTGTGCCGCAAGCCCTGTTTCACGCACAGCACATTAGCACAGCACCGCTTTTGTGGTTTTTCTACATTGCATCGCAAAAGCATTCTTGCCAGCATCCTTGTTGCATGCCGGTTTTCAGCCTTCAGTTCAGCTTTTCCTTAGTGTACTTTGCGTCTGCCAGGCACTTCTTCTTCGACTTCGCCATCTACCTTTGGCTCGCGGGCCTGCTGCTTTTCGGTCGGGGCCGCCCCGCCTCAGTCTTGCAAACCCTCGCTTGGGTCGCGGCTGCACCGCCATGTCCTGCCTCAGGTCAACCAATCTCTGGGCGACATCCCCTTTTTCAGCACCGCTGGCTGCTTTCAGGAGCCGCCTGCCCTGCTCTTGTTTCTTGCTGCGCTCAGCTCGCCTGGATTCAGGTCCTACTTCGTCTTCTGCTTCGCGATCGCTTCGCCTAGCACTGTTTTCGGCAAGCTGCCCTGGTTGCCTCTGCCTCCTTTGCTTTGCCGTTTTCTGCTCAGGTCTGCACCTCTTCTTCTTTGCGCCCCGACGGTCTTGGCCTCAGCTCCTTGCATGCCTTGCTCTGCCTCGCTTTTTTCAGCATTGGCTTGCCTACTTGTTGGCTTCCCTCCGCGCTTCGGCTCAGCGGGCTACGCAAGGCTCGTCGCACAGCTTCTCGGCCAAGGACCCATTTCGTCTTCAGCCCCGCTAGTGGCCCCAGCCTCCTAAGGCACAGCACTGCAGACAGCTCTGCTCCACTTCAGCTTAGCATACTTCAGCACACATCAGATCATTAACAGACTGACATTTTCACTCGTCTTTGCCCTGCACCGCTCCTGCATCATGTCCGGCCTGGGCGCTGCCTGGGTCGCACTCGCCTCTGCTACGAATGAGGAATTGGTGGAATCTGCACAGCGCCTTGGACCCCTGCAAAGCCTCAGGCTCACAGCGCCTGCCTCACGCACGGCGCTTATCTGGCCGAGATCGAAACGCACTGCAAAGGCAACAAGACGCCCCGCGAGCCCCTGCAACCTATTCCGGAACCCCCGGCCAGCTCTGCACCTTCCGACCCCCCTGCACAGCCAACGCCTGCTTCCGCACCAGCACCGCAGGCTGCTCCTGCGGCCACTGCCACACCTGAGCCTGCTGTTGCTCAGCCTTCCCCCGCACCCGCCGCCTTCCATGACCCCCGCGGCACATACCCGCCTATCCCAGCACCTCCACCGCAGGCCAAGAGCTCAGTGCCTGTGAAAGCAATGCCTGCATACCCGCCTGGAGCTTTCTACTTGACACCAGTGGGAGACCAGTTTCTCGCAGCCCCGCACCCTGCACCATGCGCCGGCCCCGCTACTCAGTCTTGGGCCGATATGTCGGATCCTGCACAGCAGCCACCGCTTGACTTTGTCAACCCCGCACCGCCACCAGCGCCAATTTGGCCCAAGCAGTTCACGCAGCAAAAAAAACGCTGCGCCGATCCCACACCAGCTCCCCCCGCCCCGCACCCTCAGCCCCGCCCCAGCACTGCCAAAGAACGGCGCGAGAGCCGCCCCCCGCCCCGCAACGAAGATTTTATCGCTGCCGCCGACGTCCCCGCAGAGGACGATCTGACCCAAGCACCGCAAATCGGCACCTGGAGCCAAGCATCGCACCGCACACCAGCAGACGTCCGCTGGACCCGCCAGGCCCGACCGTGGTATCGAGATCGCCACGGTCGGGCCTGCTGCGCAATTAAATGCGACTCCTCGCACAGCTCCGGCGATTGCTTGCCATGTGGCAAACCATTCCGCCTCGCACAGCCTCTGGCAACAGAGATGCATAATAAGCATCGCTGCTCGATTTGCAAGAGCAAAGAAGAGAGGGAAGAGCAGTGAGCTCCCCTCCTGCACCCGCACAGCATCGCACTGCAAAAAAGTACGGCCGCAGCCTGCTCAGCCTGCTTTCCTGCGCCTCTGCTGCCTTAGGGTTCTTCTTTCTGCTTTCTGTGCTTGCTCAGGTTCATCTTCATGCTGATCCAGGCACGTCTCTTGCAGCGCCCCTGCTCAGCACAGTTTTCTGGACGCTCGCTATGCTCCCACTTTCCTGGTTTGTCAGGCTTCGTCTCGGCATCCAGTGCCCCGCTTTTCTGCTCTTGCACGCCGTTCCTGTTAGCCCGCACTTCTTTGGTTGCCTTTTTCTGTTTAGCCTGCATGCAGGTTGCATCAGCCAGCTTCTTGCTCAAGGCAGGCCCCGCTCGTATCCTGCTCGGGGCCTCTGTGTTCTTTGGTTTGCCTCAGCCCCGCCTGCACCCATGCGCCAGCGATGGAAACGGAAATTCGGCTCCCTAGAGGACCCTGCACCTTGCACTGCACCACCGCCTTCAGCAACGCAAACCCGGCCAAGCACGGCAATGATCCCACACGCCTCGGTTTCTGATGATGAACCGTCGCACCTGCCTGTGTTCTTAGGTTTCTTTGAGGTTGGTGATTCCGCCTCAGAGGACGAATTTAGCTCGCCAGGCACACCTGCTTCGCAATCAGCTCTTCCGTTTCGCCTCGTTAGGACCTTAAGCCCCTTGCCCGAACCTACTTTGCCGGATTCCCCAGCCTCGCCCCAGGTCCTGCCGCTCACCAGCAAAGCCCCGCAGCGGCCTGCAATTGCCATACGGGTTGACTTTACAGGTAACCTACCTAGACTGCCGCACAGCATCACCCAAGGCCTTTCGCGCCCGCCCCGCCGCGTGGTCAAGTACCCCGCCCCCGCCTTGGGTTGCCCTAGTCCGAATAAACCTTTCCCGAAGTCGGGTTCTGCACCGCCTCTTCCCCGCGGGGGCCGCCCCCCGCCGCCGGCCCGAGCCATGCCACGCAGCCTGAACCTTCATAAGACCCAACCGGAGGTCCCGGCGCACAGCTCACTTATGGCTCCATCGCAACTGCGCCTTCACCTCCCCCTGCCGCCCAACCGCCTATCCCGGTCCCTCGCGTTCAGGGGGTACCCATGTCTTTCAGCCGCCGTCAACACGACATGCGCCGCCAGGCCTGCCACACCGCCTGGACGCAAATTCTGGGGATCCTGGCCGGGGCTTCCTCGCTTTGGCAATCCTTGCAGCAAAGCTCCCAGGCACAACAGCACATGCTTGCCGTGCTTAGGCCCTTCTCCCCAGGTACTCTGGAACGCTATTTCCGGGTTACCTTCAATTTCTTCGCCTTCCTGCGTAGCTCTTGCATCCTGCCAGCTGCTCTGGCACTTCACGTCATCTTGGATTTCATCTCTGCGGC